TATATAGTGCTCTGTGAACATAAATTAGTTAGCCCAATCAGTTAAATGATGAAAAATTAGGTGTCTATTTACTTGTGACCACTCAGTGTATGTGTGCACCCACAGAGGACAAGGGACTCATGAGAAACCAGGGTCCTCAAAAGCAAGAAATCTTCTCACAAAGGAAGAATAGTTTACATGAGAGTCTTAGAAACCAAAAGCTCCATAGAGCAAAAACATAAAAGAGAAAACTGAGCCTAACCTAACCTTTGTTCAAATGCTAGTTCTTGTGTCACCCTCCTACTGGTGGAGGGCTATAGTTTAATGATGAATATATATCATAGTCTGGTACAATACACATTAACATGTAGGAGTAGTAACTTTGTTCATGACTTGTGGCATGCTCAAAACATCTTTATGACTATGCATGAGGTAATGGCCATTTACTGTGTAGAGACATCAGTAATGTTTCGGAATACGGCTAGAGAAGAGTGAAACATAGCGTTTCTTTTAAATGTAACATGTGGAAGGTTTTAGTTAGGTAAGTAACATTCTATTTCATTCCAAAATTGTAAGACAACTTTTTTTCTACATATATGTGTGATGACAAGTAGAAAGTATCAAAATAAATACCTGATGCAGGTAGATAAATCTGAGTCATTTTGAAGCATTTATATTAGAAATTTTCCCTTTTTTTTTTCACACTAACTTTTCTTTTGCCATGATAAAATTCTGTCAGCAATTATTTCTTTTCAGACACACTGTGCTACTATGGTAAGAGAAAAAAACCAAAAACTAAATTTTTTTTGGCAAAAAGAAATGTAAAATCTATATTATTAGTTAAAGCCGACTAGTTTTTGTTTCACAGTTACTATCACTACCTCAAAGACAATAACTGAGTCACTGAAACAAGTTGGCTCTAGCTAATAAAGATTTTTACCTTTTATTGTGCCAAAAAAATGTCAGTTTTGTGTTTTTCACTCTCACTATTGAAACAGTAACTTCCTTAGAAAGAAATTACATTAAAAATTTAATATAAAACTCATGTCTTACTTCTTTTGTGCTTCAAGGAAACGTTTTCGTCTCTCTTCTTGTGGCGGCACAGCATATTTAGGTTTGTACTGAGCAAATCTTGGATGAGGGGCAGCCGTATCATTTGGAGTTGATGACACAGTTACTCCTGTTGCTAGGCAACTGATGAGGTCATCCATAGTTATGTATAATTGTATGAATGTCTTTCTAAGAAAATAAAGTGTATAAATAATCCTTCTCTTTTGTTATGACTAAATGCTACTTATATTTAACTGATAATAAAACATCCATGGTTCAAACATTTACCTACTCCTGTCTCCTGAAAAGAATTAGCCATTATTCTCCGATTCTTGAACAAATACGTTCTTCATGCAAATATATTTTAAACATTAATGCAACTCAAGCATGCTTCAGTGAAAATCAGTTTGCTAATCTAACAATCATAACCAAATACTTATATTCAATACACAAAACAGTAACATGTTCCAAGATTTATGACTCTTATGTTACAGAACTTGTACTAAAAATAATGATTATGCTCTATACTATATATGTACATCATTATGAAAACTTTATTGAAAACTACAACTTTAATTGAAAAGTACTGGATCTTCAAAAGGTTCATAACTACATACAAGAACATTAGAAGTAATTCTGTTTCCCTAACCTCAACCTCCAACTTCTGACAAAACTTGGATCACCGAAGAATCAGTAGTGAATAACTGCCACAGAGGAACAAAATCAACCAAACATCCTGCCATTGGACTGGAAACCACCTGAAAGTGACTGAAATGGCTGGTGACAATGAACCCAACTCCGTAACATATGGCAAAATTTTGAACCCCTAGTGGTTGGAACAGGTAAAGTACAGGAGGTTGAAGAAGGAGAAAGTTATGGGATAGTTCATGGTATCAGAATGAGAAAGACAAGTAACCAAAGACTAATGGTTGGACTAATTGTGGACTCAAATAGTCCATACATTATTTCAAAAAATCTGGAAAATCTCCACAAATAAATTGATGGAGAAAAGGAGCCATCCAGAAGTCACAAAGACAAAGGGAAGGTAGAAGAACCAGTAAGAAGACAGCATCCTTCCCAATATGATCCCAGCAGCAACAAAACCATGTATGAGGGGATAGGGCCAAAGAGGACAACAGCACCAAGGAGGAGGAAGGAGAGAAAGTTTATCCCCAAAAAAACCCTCATGGTATCAGTGGAGTGCCTCAGAAATGAGGTGTATGTTGGAAAGTACTGCAGGAGAGCTGTTAGGATAAGACAAAGGTGGGAAAAAGGATAGGATATCAGGGATAGCCCCTCACATTGGCAAAAGTGACTCCAACTGTTGGAAGTCCAGAGTGGGTTGATCAGCTTGCCGATAAGCCAATGCATAAAGATCAAAAGTCCATAGAGGATGAGGCACTCTAAAACCAGTCCTCAACTGAGAAATAAAATGTTCAGCATGAACCCAGTTCCAGGGGAATGAGGGAAAACAAGGGACTCTAATAAAAGGTGTCATGTAAAAAAATAAAATAAAGGAATGGTATCATATGAAAATGGAACAAACCTGAGAAAACATATCCAGAAAAGGCAAAGTTAGGCCTAGTAGATATCATAGAAGATACATACATGGGAAGACCTGGAATGGTTAGGAGTAGAAAAAAAAACTGCAAAAATCCTCTTCATCATGAACAGGTTCAGACAATGCAGATGGAACCAGAACACAGTCAGGAGAAAAAGGATGCCTCATATAACAATCAATCTCCCAATAAATGATAGACAAAAAATCCTTGTTATGGCACTCAAAGTAGCTGTAATAATATCAGAAGTTGTAAAACACAAACTTCGGAATTCATCTTAAACCATAAAGAAGTTGAAAATGAGAAGAAAAAAATGCATAAACAAAGGTACATTATTGCAGCAAAATACTACAGAAAAACTAACTGTAGCAAAATAATAAATAAAGTAAATCACTACTTTGCAAAAAAAAATTAAATAAACACCTAAAAAGAGCATAATTGAAAAACATCTGCACTCAGTCACTGCCTAATGAGAAGTGATAGTTTGGTAGAATCAAATAGAGGGAGTCACATGCATCAGGAGGATGTGTTGCATGATGATTTACATGCGAGACACAGCTGAACCATGTTGATCATGGAGTACATGAGAGTTCAAGGCTTGTGGAATACAAAAAACTTTTTGCATAAAGAGGGCAGCACTGAATGAGAATAGCTATACAAGTGAGAAGAGGTAATGTACCGTATCACAAATATTAATCCTTGTTTATAAACTTCAGTTACCTCCTTTTCACCAGTAAGTTTGTATCTTGAAAACTTACATTTAACATTTATTATTAATTTCTGTATTCATTCATCCAGGAACAATCTTCTGGCTAAAATGTAAGATTTCTGAAGAAATGCTAACTTTTTCAGTATTCGTTACTTACAATAACTAGTAAGAACCTTTAAAACTTCACTACAGTTTTTCATTTAGGTCATACAGTACTTATAACTTTTAAACGAAAGCTTTGTAACATATTTTCAGTAGTAAAACAACATTGTTGATAGGAAGAAAATTAATTTTAAAGTTAATACACTGTTAGTAAAGCTTCTTAAAACCATATATAAACCTTAACATAAAACTATTACAGTACACTGCTATATGCAGTTATAAACTAGTGAAATATTTTACCTGATGATGTGATGTATGCTGTTACCACTAATTCAAAACATGAAGAAGAGATCTCATGGGCTGAACAACTATCATCCTTAATTCATATGATATACTCATTTCCCTGATATTTGTCTGAATGATTGCCAAAATAGATTCATACACTTAGTACTAAAATCAAACCTTTAACAATTTTACAAGAACTCTGTTTTGAATTTCTACATTATCTAAACTAACAACATATAATATAATGACATTTGGGCAACAACAGACCATTTAGCCCTTCAAAGCATTCCCTGCACACTTACCCTTAAAAAAAAAGTAAAACTTGAGCCCACCCATTATTTTTCAGGTAATTATTCAATCCCTTTTTAAACACTTGAAAATATCAGCCTCCATTACTGCCAACAAATGCTAATGGACCAAGTAACAGTAACAATAATTTAAATTACAAAAGTGCATATATTGTGTCTAAATACAGTATCAAAAACATACAAGATCATGTAGTCAGGTAGGTGTACTCACCCTAATGCTAAGCAATGCTCATGTTCACCAAACACTTACCTACAAGTTCTAGCAATGTTAAGAGCTCAGTAGCAAGATACCTAAGGATGCCAACTGGTTATTAAAAAAATGTATAATCCAGTCCTTCTCTAGAGTTTAGACTGAGAATCACGGAAAGCACAACTGATATGGTTTTACTCATAAAAATACTGGTATTTTATGCAGTTTAAAATTTCCAAATATTCAGACAGAGATTATTTTCTGTTTGGAGTTCTAAGAACTTGGAAAACTACAAACACATATTAAACAGTTTTGTTGACTCCTTCCTTATGGTATTTAGAAAGCTTATTATACATATATATATTGGCAGTTGTCCTGGTTGGCTGGTAAAAGTAATGACTGTAGTTTCTACAAATAACATCTGGTGAAACTTCTGTGTGATACACTTTGGTTTTTGGTCTTTAGTCTACATTTATCCCTAAGATCCCTTCCTTAAGTCATGTTACTGAGGAAATTTCCATTTATATGAAACATGTAATAAAATTTTGATAATTTCATTAGTGTGCATGGGAGACAATACAAACTAACACAAAGGGTAAACTTTATAAAGTGCTCAGGTTAGTAAATTCCTTTTCTGATTTTAAAATTGTATTACAGTCAGATGTAAAATGAAAGTGTGTTTCACATATAGTGATAATAAAACATTTCATAAACATGAGGAAGTTTTGTTGCTTGATTAACTAAACTGGTTTTGTCCATCTTCTTGTCTCATGTTAATACTTTTTAGTCTATCCAAACTCAAAAATTTAATAAGTAAATTCAAGCTTTTCAAAGAGTTTCTATTTAATAAATAATAACATATTGCTGTGGATATCCAACCTAAGGAATTATAATAAAATGATAATGATGTCAATCATTAAATAAATTCTGTTGTATTTCTTTAGCAGGTCAGAGTAAAATGATAAGTTGCTGTTTAACATGTCCCTTAGGAGCCAAGGGGTGTCTTTACACTACAATTGTTGAATATAAAAAGTAAATTCAATCCAGAAAGTCCCAAAGAGGGTGGTTTGGACGTATCTTTTTTTGACAAGTTTTCAATTGTTAATTGATAAATTTTTAAGTGAAATACACCATCCTCATGTCTCCATACTAGCTAGTACCTAGGTCTACCCACTGGGAGTAAATTCAGTATATATCAATAAAGCCACGTTCTCAGCATCAATAATTAAGCAACTGCCAACCTTTTATGCTTCTGCTATCATCTTTTTAAGCTTAGCTTTCAAATGAGATATGAACAATTTAGTAGGGAAGGCCAAAGCATTACAATAGTCAGAAATAGGATTAGCAGACAGGAACACTTTGAAAGCAGCTACAGGCATAATATTGTACTCGGCTTGCTGTACAATATCTACCAAGGTGGTTCTAAATGGTTCCTGAATACCACTGCGTGTCACTTGGAGACTTTCATGCTTCTTGTGCTTGGCCATTAAGCTTGTGATATCATAATGGATTTTAGTCACCATACCACTTCAAATCCCTTTTCGCAGCCCCAATGCTAAAATAGTGCAGGAAATGCCTTTTTTTTTTAGCCAATAAGAACTTCCAAAAAATTTCAGTTCACATTAAGAAAAACTGGAATGGGTAGTTTTTTGTTTGTTTTTAAATGTCCTCCACTGGCTGGTGAGGAGCCTGTTAAAATACAATTGGCAAATAACATTATAACTTCAATGACAAAAAATTTCAAAATATGTTACAAATTTTAAAAAATACTTTTGATTTTGAAACATTGACACTATCGTCTATATTTTATTTTTCTTAATATGTACACATGTGCATAGCATGTAAACAAAAAAGGAGATGAAATGATTTTTACGGAGAGCAAACATACCCTGTGAATCTCACAAAGGCCAGAAAGGCCTCCCAGAACATGCTGTGCAAATAATGATAGTTCCCAGCATTTGATTCACTTCATAATTTTATCATGTAAAGATACAACATTTGTTCCCGATTAAGGTTAATTCTAATTTTAATAAGATATTCACCCTTTCTCAATTTCTTGTTTAGTGGTGCTGTACTGCCCTGACCAAAAGCACTACAAAGTACAATAATTAGCAGTCATTGCATATATTCACAATAAAATTAATTCTGCACATGAAAAAGTCATTATAAAATGGGTGATCACTGAATACCAAAGTTTTCTTTACTAATGTTATATGAATAGTGAAAATAAATAAAGATTATATTTTACTTGAAAAGTATCCGAACCAAGAGTCACCTTAAAGTTCAAGTAAACTTGCATGGTGATTATGCCAATACTAATTTTTACTACACAGACGTGCACAGCAACCATGCTGATATTGATAGTCTCGACCTAAATATAATCCACCAACATCTGTGAAACTGTCACTGTGTCAGAAGGGATAACTTTCAAAAGAATTCGTTACAATGAGATACAAAAAAAACCAAGAGTCAACACTGCATTTACAATGCTGTAATACTAATAATTATTTAACACACAACACTAACAGTAACATAAGTGATTAACAATATATCAACATCATTATAATTTGTATGCAGTAAATAAATGCACCCATTTAACATTTTAAATCCTGGTACTGTCAGTGGTAACTAAAAGTGAGTAAAACTAAAAATAGCAATATGATGTTAGCAGCGTAAGTTTAAAACAGAATGATAATTACGTTGTACTATTAGTACTAAATAATAATATTCGTATTACACAGTAATTAATAGCATTAGTATTAATATTATACGGTACTCACTGAATAAGTAATTCCAAGTTTTAACCACTGTATTGCTACTGCACCACTCTAAATTCTAATAGTAATAAACAGAAGTCTCTTGCTTCAAGTTTAATATAGTGAGATTATTTCAATTCCATCTCCTAGAAACACTAATACTATAAATAATTTGAATAGACAAAATTTAACACTGAGCAAACATCAACATGCTTCGACTCAAATAAAAAGAACCGCCATCGTGTGACTAAGTTTCAAAATATATATATTTGCAACGTAATTATTATTAAGAATGTCATCAAAAAGAGTTTAAAAAGCTATGCGAATGACCAGTGATTAAAAATTGATTCAGTAGAATATAAAATTCAGTAAACATAAAAGTAAAAAATTTGTTGTTTACATATTTAGAAAACTTAAAACTGTACAATGAATATTGCCGCAATTTTATTTATTCCATTAATTCCCTAATCATGTTGTTATCGTCATCCTGCTTATGGCATTTCCTATAAATAGTATACCAAACTCAATTCATCTTGAGCTTTCGTCATTACGATATATTTAAATACACACACATACAAAGATATATATATATAAGAGAGAGAGAGACGAGGGGGTAAAAGGTAAAATGTGTACCTTTTTGTTTTTCTTAAACTCTAATTTTTGCGAAAGGATCCAGAAGCCCGCCGGGAGGGGGTCATTTGTTTTAACCACTCGCACCACAATACAATAGTGTGTTGTCTATCAGTCAACCAATAGACACTAAAATGACGTCACGATAAGCCCTCTTATATGAAATAGGTAATTGATGAAGAAGTGGAGAGCCTCTCGATGTCGTGAGGAACCCTGCCGAGCCGAAACCCAGACACAAGGTGCCTCTTGTAGATAATACCCATCAGCAAGTATTGTCTTAGCAGCAAGTAAGATAGCTGGATCTCGTGCGAGAAGTTAAGGATTCGTGAGGTAGTAGAGAGTTTCTCCTTGAATAGAAGCACCCAATCTTTCTAGGAGTCAGGATAGAGGTACCACTGATGAACCTGGAAAATTTAGTTCCATTATACAAAACGTTATTCCATAAATTTTGTAAGATGAAACAAGATGTGATAATCAACTGAAGAAATGTATCGTTAAGCCTCTGTGTTCGTTTGTTAATTTCCCGTAGAAATTCTTCCCGAGAAACTTCAGCGATACAAGTCATTTCTTAAATAAAACTAGTTTATTCTTTTTCAATACAACTTTGCAATACACTTAATTTCCACAATCAATTTAACTTAAACACACGCTATAATTCACAACGAACGATTCACGCACTTACTTACTACCGTGCTTGACTCAATTGTCCGTCTCTATATCGATTCATTGTCTGGCGCACTTATATACAAGAATACCGCACATCTAGCAAACACCCCAGCATTCACGAACCTTATCATGACGTGTTACTAGGGTCACGTGACTTCCGCTGTCGTAACAGCATCTAAAATGGACTACTTTAAGTAAAGATAAAGCAAAGTCAAAAATGTGTGAAAGATACCAAATACTTTTAAATTATTAGAATCTGCATCAAAGATGTACAGTAGTTTTAAGACTGAACACAATACAAGTTTATTAAAATGACTCCAGGAAATGTAATCTTATGACATATCAATAAAGATCTTTAGTGCATTAAGCTAAAATAATACAAAGAGAGCAATTCAGGTGTAAAAATATATTGCTACGCCTCCGGTCGTTAGTTAATTTTCCGTAAAAATTCTTTCCTAAGAAACTTTACCGATACAAATCCTTTCTCAGATAAAACTGGTTTATTCTTTCTGAATACAACTTTACGATACACTTAATTTCAACAGTCGCGCTATAACAAACACTATAATTCACAACGAACTTCTCACGTGCTCAACAATATTCTGTCCGCTTACATTCAATTACTCATTACATTGCCTCCGTCACGTTGTGACCGTCTTATATATTGTTACGTCTCCGTTTGTTAATTAACTTTCCGTAAATTCGTTCCGACGAAACTTTAGCGACACAAGTCCTTACTTAATAAAACTGGTTTATTCTTTCCGAATATAACTTTACGATACACTTAATTTCAACAATCGCGCTAAAACAAACGCTATAACAACGAACGTTAACTTCAACAATACGTCTCTCTCTGACTGCATTTCAATTACTCATTACCTACACACACATTATTCTGTCACGTTGTCACCCTCTTTTATATACCAGACTACCCTATATCTAGTAAATACTAGAGCATTCGCCAAGGTACACGATAGTTCTAGAAAGCAGAGGGCGTGAGAATAGTCACGTAATCTCGCTGACGCAACAATATATAAGAATACCGAGATATAGTAAACTCCCGATATTTCATGAAGGTTCGAGAAGGAAGAGGCGTGATACAAGCGTCACGTGACCTGCGTTGTCGTAACAATATCTTGGATATAAATTCAAGAGTGTTTTGAGTCTGGTTAATACCATAGTCAAAACCTCATTTTGAGTGCTGCAGTAATGTTATCTGTTTGATATTTTATAGGATATTTGTGTCTTATTTGTTGTATCTGGGAGTAGATTGTAAATATCTAAAGAACATATGCAAAGCCTCACAGCAAAGTCACTGCTTCTGGCTGGATGGAAAACCAGAACTACCTCTGTCAAAGTCCTAAAATACCAAGTCAAAAATGTTTATGACATTCTGGCCACAAGGAACAATTGCAAACAGTTATACAACTGGAGATTATACTCGCAGTGAATCTTGTAGTCTAGACAGTTTTTGGTTATCTCTGTCACTCAGTTTTATTTTGCATCAATTTATGTCATGATATAAATGAC